AATGCTGAAAGCAGAAAAAATGATTCCACTGGACTTTTGGACTAACCTGGCTATCTTTTTATCATTTCTTCCAGCACCATTGATCAGTGCAGTGCAATTGACGTGAAGTGAAAACTACTTCTACACATCCTATTTCTATGGAGGAAAGGCAAAACAACAGCTTTCCAATAAAGCTTTTCAATTCAACTGAAACCAGGAATGGCATGGTGCTTGTGCATAGCTATGTACTAGCCTTCAGGCAACAAGGAAATATTTTGGATATCAAATAAGAAATGTGTAATAGCTGTAGCTAACTCTTACAGAGGTTCTCCTAGGAAAGCTTTTTTCCCCCTTCAAACTTCCTGTTGGGGTTGAGCCTTCTAAGGAAGCTCAAGCTGGTGATATGAAGTGTTCCCTTCTCCTTTGTGTCCTCACAGCAGCAACCTTGTGAGATTGGTTGGGTTGTGAAAGTACAACTGGCCCCAGGTTATCCTCTTGGCTGAAGGAGGAATCAACCCTGCAGCCACTCCTTTTGGCTTCCCTGAGGCATTAAATGGCCTGAGCATTATCCCTAGATTTGATAGGTTTGCTGCTGAGAGTAATCCAGCAAAATATGGACCATGCTCTATATTCTATGTATCTCAAAAGTTCTTGAGACGCTGCTGCCCTCCAAGATAGTTGCTGTTGACAGGCAGACTGAACGACCCACAGGTACCAGTGAGTGAAGACTGCTTAATGGTGGCACAACCATGAAAAGCTTCAAATGGAGTTCTAGATCAAGCAGTGGCGTGGATGGAGACCTTACCAGTCAAATAATTTTCCTAAGATTCAAATACTAAACTAAAAAATAAATGATTCTTCAAAGGCAAGACTTCCCTGGGTTTTTTGGCCTCAATAACCTATTTGGTGACCTGGAACAAGAGGCACTTGATCTCTCACGCTCTTATACTCAGAAGAAAGCATATGGCTCAGACTCTTCTCTATGTTTACCCTCGCTATCCAAATCTAATTACTCAATAGCTCTGAATTTAGCAGACGCTTCTGTACTCGAGAGTAGGTCTATCATAATGATCTTTCACAATTGTTTAAACAGGAGAATGCCTTATATCACATTTGAAAGCATGTGACCTGCTTTATACTGTATATGTTAGCTTTCTTGAAACAATTTTTTGCAATTTTTTGCATCACTGAAGATTGAAAGCTGCAGATTAGATATAGCATTACTTTTCATCCAGTCTCAAAGATGGGCTTTAACTTTGGCCTCTGCTCCTCTCCTTTGCCATCCATCTTCATTTTTTCATTTTCATTTTATTAGGATTTATAGGCCGCCCTTTTCCCTGAGGGGACTCAGGGCGGCTTACAATCATAGGGAAG